CTCCCTGGGTGCTGGACCAGCCACACTGCCTGTGCTGGGACTGTTGACGACCATCATCACTGGCACCTGCAGCCACCTCCCTGGCAAGCTGCCCTGGGCAGAGCATGCAGGGGCAGGGATGGAGGAGGGAAGTTCAGCACTACTATTTAAAAGAGAAAACATGGTTTCTTCATGGCCTGGGGGCTCCACCTCCACACGTCACCCTGCCCTGTACATGGTACAGCCAGACAGGCGCTCCAGCTCACAAGGAGGTGACCAGGACCTGGGCTGCTGCAAAGACAGCCGTGGCCAAGCTGAGTCATGACCAGCTGGGTCCCAGGCAGATGTTCCTGTGGGCTGGGGTGTGACTGGTGACGTGGGAAGTTAGGGAAGGATGAGGAGTGCAAGTCCTTTTTTGTGAGCTGGGAGACACCTCCTCCCCTCCAGACAGCAAACCTACAGATGTACCCCAGTTGACTCACAGAGGTTCAAAGCTCAGACTGACCCGTGGCTGTGGTGAAGATATGCATGGAAAGGGAGTCAGTGCTAGTGTGCCCTGGCCAGGGAGCTGAGGAGAGCAACCATACTGCAGCAGAGACCCAGTGTTCCCAACAGTCCCACTGCTCCTCACCAGCTGCCACTGTCACATTAAGTACAGAGTAAGAAGTGTAACTGAGGGCTGGAGTTGCATCAGACCATGGCATGACCCAGGGTCTGCTGCCAGCTGATGGAGAGGAGAACATGGGAGTCATCTCAAGGAAGCCATGGTAGCCCCCCAGCTCCACTGCACCCAGCCAGCAGCTGGCAGGAGCTATCCAGGCTCTCCTGCCTGACCCCAGCCTTCACAACCTTTCCCTGGCAGCCTTGGAGGCAGCCAGCTCCACTCTGCCAGTACCCACAGCACCAGCATGTGCCTCAGTGCTGGAGTTGACTGAGGTTATGCTGGAAAAAGCCATCACACATGCTTAGCTCTAGGCAAAAAAGAAAGCCATGGGCACAATGCAGCTAATGGCTACACCCGGAGCATGAGCAGAAGTGCTCTCTACCCAGCACAGTCTCCACGGGCCAAGAGGATGGGGGTGCTTGCTTGTACAAGGTCTGTAAGAAAAACTTTGTAGGGCAGACAAGCCAGCCAGTGGAGGGAAGGAGGAGGGAGGCTCCGTGCTCACACCAGGGACTTCCTTGGGTTAGATGAAGGGCTGGGACCAGGTCTGTGTGACTCATTGTGCTTTTCTGAGCTGTGCTGCTGCCCTGATGCAACCCTTGCTCCAGCAGGAATCAACTGCGAGGGGCCATCACTGGTACTGGGGAGAAACATGGGAGGAGTAAGAGCTGCTATTAAAAATTATCCCTTTGCAACCCGCACACCAAAGACACTACCCACTGGCTGCTGGAAAGGGAGAATCCCCTTCCACCCACCACTTTGTGTGCAGCTGAAAATATCCACCGGTACCACCAGATGGACAGGATACCCAGGCTCCTCTCAGACACAGTTCTCTGAACAGTCTTCAAAGGTGAAATCACCAACAAGGAAGCAAGCAGCTCAGAAAAGTAGTCCCAAATTTCTCCAGTCCCGAGCTGTTGCGCATTTGCTGCTTACTCACTTCTTGCCAAGCCTAGAGCTGCCGGGTTGGGCCCCCGCCCTCCCCTCTGGCACAACTACTCCTTACAGCTTGGAAGCTATTTTTTTCCCACTCTGCTATCTTAAAAAAGAAAGAAAGAAAAAAAAAAGGCGTGAAAGCTTATATCATCCTGAAAACATGCCAACTGCGAAGGCGACTCTGTGTCTCAGATGCCTGTTTCCTGGCAGATTTTAAGTCCTTTGCTCAACTGCTCGGATGGCGGGGGCAGGAGATGCCTGCAGCAGCAGGCTGTGAACTGGAGTTCTAAACACTCACATGTTTAACTACTGCTAAATTACCAGGGGACCAACATTTTCAAACAGCAGGCTAAGAGCTGCACACACAGCCAAGTGGCCCATTTGAGGTGAAGTGATGCTGTGCAAGCAGATGAAGGGCCACTAGCATGGCTACAGGAGGTACCAAGGGAGGTCACATGGCTCAACACCTCCACTTGGGTACAACTGTCACGCAGTACAGAGGGGGGTCACCCTGCTCAACACTTCTGCCTGGTCAGCCACCCCTTCACTTCCCAGAGAGTGAGGCTTCAGTTCTGTTGGCACCCAGTCGTTTAAGGGAAAGGATGGGACCAAGCGAGCAGGGTGAGCAGGGGAAAAATGCTGGATGGCTGCACTACTGGTGCCCAAATTTCCAGTGACCAGCTCTGGCTGTAACCAGTTCATGTGCTGGGAAGTTCATGTGCAGCCTGAGAGGTGGGGACAGCCCCTGTCTTGCTGCTGTCCTGGAAGGAGCTACACACACAGAGCCCTTCACCCCAGCAATACTTTTTGGGCTCCAAAGTGCTTGGAGCTGGTTTTGTACACAGAAATCTCCTTTTGAGCCCCAAACAGCAGGGGCTCTTAGAAAGGGTGGGTAGTCATGAGTGGATTTTTGGACTGTGTGGATCTGATGGCACATTGGACCCACAGGAGTATAAGGCTTTAGTTTATGCCAGAGCACAGTGTACCCTGATGCCATCAAGATATGTAGGGGCAGAATCCATCCCTATTTCTGGGCTGACAGGGATCCCAGCAGCTGACTGATCTTCTGGAAGCTGAAGTGAGCCTGACCAGGAACAAAGGGCAGAAATATCCCCTTGTGACTGGCCCAGAGGCCCCGTGTATCCTTGGCATATACTCCCAGGAGAGGGTATTTCAAGGACACAAAAGGCTTTTGGGATAGCTGCTGTGGAGACAGAGGAAATCAGACAGCAGAATACCTCACCTGGTTTCTCAGAGGATCCTTCTGCTGTGGGACTGCTGAGGTTGTAGAACAACAGGTACTGATGGACAGACCAGATGGTACGGACTGGAGTCCAGGGCAGCCAAGTGGTGCCACCATCGATATTGTTAATGTGTTTTTCTCCATTCCTTTGGCAGCAGAATGCAGGCCACGGTTTGCTTTCACCTGGAGAGGTGTGCAGTACACCTGGAACTGACTGCCTCAAGGGTGGAAACACAGTCCCACTATTTACCATGGACTGCTCCAGACTGCACTGGAGAAGGATGAGGCTCCAGAACATCCATGACATCACCCTATGGGGGAACACAGAAGAGGAAGTTTCTGAGATCTTCACCTTTTGTCCTCCAAGTCTCAACTCCGCCCCGCCAGAGTGGGAAGGGGGAGGGAAAGGGAGAGTGAGAGAGCAGTGTCTGCTTTGCGAGAGTCTCTGTGGGGGCACGAAATTGGGGAGTACCATTCCTAAACTACAACAAGGTAGAAGGCCATCTCTTGGCACATGACCCACAGCAAAACCTACCCTAGCACATACCTATAACCAGCCCTGCTGCCAGCTGAGGATTTTCCTTAACATTTCAATCCAGGCTATCCAAGCATTGCTCCAACTCTTCAGTTACTTGGAACCACCTGCAAAAAGAAAACTAAGTAGCCTGGGAAGGCAGGGATTGATGGCCTTTCAGATTCACTTTTTTTCCCTAGGGACAAGTTCCTGGGAAGAACATGCCATGCCAGCTGCCTCCTGTGTCTCCTGCCCTGCACACACACTTCTCTATCCACTTGAGAGCCCAGTTCACTAACAAGAGGAGCAGCCTTCATCCTCCTCTGTACTTAGAATCGTGGAATAAGAGAATTATACAATAGTTTGAGTTGGGAAGAACCTTAAAGACCATCTTGTTTCAACTCCCTGCCTTGGGCAGACACACCTTCCACTAGCCCAGATTGCTCCAAGCCCCGTCCAACCTGGCCTTGGACACTTCTAGGGATGGAGTAGCCACAGCTTCTCTGGGCAACCTGTGCCAGGGCCTCACCACCCTCACAGGGAAGAATTTCTTCCCACTATCCCATCTAACCCTGCCCTCTGGCAGTGGGAAGCCATTCCCACTTGTCCTGTCACTCCAGGCCCTTGTCCAAAGTCTCTCTCCAGCTCTCCTGGAGACCCTTTAGGTAATGGCAGAGGGGAGGGCTCTAAGGTCTCCCCAGAGCTTTCTCTTCTCCAGGCTGAACAATCTCAATTCTTGGATGTCTTCACCTTCTTCATCTCCCACCTTCTCCCAACTTAAGCACAAGGATGGCTGCAGCTGGGGCCAGCCAGCCCAAAAGCAACAGGCTGGAGGACAGGACACAGTCAGCATCTCTCCGTGGCCTCTGCCAGCAGGAAGCTCCTGCCAGGCCCTGGGGGAGCAGGGCTGTCACGGTGACATTTCTCTAACAGGCAGCATCAGCGACAGTGTCTGCACTGCCAGAGCCAAGTGGCATCAGGTAAACTGCCTTCGTTCAACAGTCCAGCTTAAAGAGAGAAAAACAGCAGCATTACCAGTGTGGCAGGAGATAGGTATGATCAAGGTGCCAGCCACTCCCATTGCAGGTGGTTTTAGGCATTAACTTGGGTCAGAGTCAGTTGCAGGAGGTTGCTTTCCCAAGGTTAAGAAGCATCAGTAAACTTTTTTTTATGTTCAAGAGACAGCACTGATATTTTTGTGTGCCAAACTGGGATCATCTCCAGTAAGGGATGGCCCTGCCTTCAGCTGTGCCCATGAAAATTTCCTAGGGTTTTGTGAACATTGGTGTTCGGAGGAAGTAAAGGCCTTCCCCCGCTGCAGAGGTTCCCAGCCCCAGACATGCAAGTGACCGGCTGAAGTTCACAGCCTGCAGCCAGGACACATTTTGGGACACTTCCTATAGGGCAGGCCAAACAGGGAACAGAAAGGCCAAAAGGGGTGAGCATCACCCATGGGAAGCACATGCTTTTTAGGCCAAGAGAAGGCAAGTCCATGAGGTAGACATGATCTGCAGAGATTTCTCATTGCTTGTGTTGTGTGAGGCAGTAGCAGTCTCTCGATTCACTGTGCACAAGGAAAAAACAATTGTTTTAAGTCGTTTTTTCAGCGATGGAAATAAGCTCATATTTCAATTCCTATTTACCAAAACAGGAGCCAAACTCAGTGCTGTACGAAAGTGTTTATTCCAAAGCTAAATTTCTCACATAAAACAATGTCTGTGAACAGCAGCATTCATCCTGACAGATCTCCAGCAGTCTCTTGGGCTTGGAGTCCTGACCCATTCCAACACAGCACTTGGGAATCTCTTTTCAGAGTTGTCAGGAAGGGGAGGGAAAGGACAGAAAACAGATGCATGGCCATTGGCACAATTTCAGAAATTGTGCCTGCTCACAAGAAGAGCAAATGTATCAAGACACTTTGCAGGGAGATTAATGCCTGTACAAAGATCCCACAGAACACCCTGCCCCGTGCAGACTGCCTGCAAAGGGGCAGCTGCCCCTATCAGGAGAGAGCTGTGTTATTCTTGCAAACAGAAACCGGGGCTGTTGGATTTAATTATCTGCTGAACTGCTTCCAAGGACCAAAGTGGTTGAGAGGTCATGTCAGAGATGTGCTCCTTCGCAGCCCAGAGACTTTGCACCCTGGTGCGCTGCTCTGGTCCCAGCTGACACTCTAGAAGGGATTCCCTTCTTCCCCCAGCCTCAGCCTCTTAGAGAGGTGGTTGCTGATGGCCATGAGGGGGTTGGCTCTGTACTTGGGATCGGTGATAACCTCATGAAACCGAGCCACTTCCTCCTCTCTGAGGAAAGAAAAACAACACGCAAATTCTCTAAGTGTCTCACGCAAAAGAAACTCAGCAGATAAGGACGAAACTCATAAAGCAGTGGATTTCTGTCGAGATAGAGTGATCCTGGGTGTAAATCTCAGAAAGAGACAGTGCAAGAAATAAACCTAATTTAGCCAAGGGCAAAGCTCAAATTGCTGCCAGCTTCATGGGAGTCAGAGGCTTGATCTCATGCCACAGAGACAGAAACAATCTTGTTAGTGCCCAGCATCACTTGGAAATGATTATTTCAGAACTTTTCCCTAGTAGATCAAGGGACTGTGGGTATCTGGTAAATCACCAGGAATGAAAATTACTTCAGACTGCACCAGCACGAAATCAGATTCTCTTCTGAGAGCTCATCTACTGACTTTTATTCCTGAACACTGAGGCTTGGTAATCCTATGTGCAACACTAGTTAGATGCCATGGCAAGAGCAGCTGCTTGCTGTGGAAATGGTCTTGTCTTAAAAAGCAAGTACCCAGGGAAAAACAAGAACAGAGTAGGAGTGTAAAAGAAAACCTGTGAGTTTTCACACAGCCACATCCATTGCAGCATCCCCATCTCCCTCAGGCTGCCAGGCTCTCCACAGGCTTGCCAGACACACAGTTGTTGGCATTCAGCTACTCCCCAACCAAGTATGGGCCTTCCCTTCAATGCCAGCCCTGCCCCTGGCAGAGGGAAGAGAGGAGCCAAACCTGAAGCTTCGGTTGTGGCACATGGGGCAATATGGTGAGTCTTAGGGAACCTCCTACCCTTACCAATATCCTGGGAAACAAACCTCAAGACCTTCCTCCAAGCTATTTCCCTCCCAAGAAGCACAGATTTCCCAGACCACCAAAAAGTAAAGAAAGGCAGAACTGAGCAAGGAAGGCATCCCAGCACCAACAGTGGCCAATTTCTGACAGAGAAGGGTATTCATGGAGTGTGATGGAGATCCGTAGCCTGGCTGTTCAGCCTCAGTTTGAAGTTGAATGGCTCAGAACTGACAGAAATCCTGGAAACATGAAAGCAAACAGTGCCAGATCACAGTGCCTAGCCCCAGTAGAGCTGTGCTGAGTGAAAATGAAGTTCTTGATGCCTAGTGGCAGTATAAACTATCCAACAGATTACACAGAGGAATAAGGAGTTGCCAGACTAAGCCCAGGAATCATTCAAAAGCATTTAAACTCTCCATCCTTATTGATATTCAAAAGCCATGTGGACATGGTCCTGAGCAACCAGTTCTAGATGACCCTGCTGGTTGGACCAGGGGTCCCTTCCAATGACCCCCAGGGGTCTCTTCCAGTCTCAGCCATTCTGTAAGGCTCAGCAAGGACTGGACACTGGTAACTGGGTACTTACAGGAGCCGATGTTTCTGAGCTTGTTTCATCAGACAGAAGTCTGATGGTTCTGCCTTTGCTATATGGCTGTGGAGAGAAGAAACAAAACAAGTGAGCGAGTGTTAGAGAAGAGCAGCGACTTAGAAATGACTGCAGAGATGGAAGCAGTCCAGGAATTCTGCATCTACCTTCCCAGAGAGAAGAGGTAATTGTCCTGCATGGAAATTGTCCTGAAAGGCAGTTATTTCACAGTCAGGCACTGCATGGAAATGCAAACTCCTTCTGGCACAGACTGACAGAGCAGGAGGCATTGAAGAAAAACCGGATCGCTTAGTTCCAGAACTGGTCATTAGCTGTCCATGCCCAGATCACTTTCTGCTTATCACTGACCTCCAGGTCAAACCGATCCCATTGCTTAGAGAAAAGATTCCATTGAAATTCCTCTCACTGCCACACGTGTCACCTCTGCACGGCTCACGTTCCCTACTGACACTGCAGAGCCCCAGCCTCGGCAGCCATCCCTTACAGACAGTGCTATGTACACTCAGCAAGTACATATCCAAGGGATACTGCCAGCCCTGCTCTGGATCCCGCAGTGGGACCACTGGGATATCATATGTTGGAATGCAGGATGGTGCACTGCGTGCAGCGGAGGCACAGCAGCAGGTATGGATCTGCACTCTCTGTAACCCACTCCTGACTCCTGGGCAAAGTCTAAGGAGACCAGAGGTGTAATCCCATCCCACACGGTGCCCAATGCTAAGTAGCAGTAGAGATTTACCACAAAGGCAGCGCTGAGCCCCAGCAAGGGACACACAGGAAGGGCAGCGATTGCTTTTGGGACTTGAAGTGCATAAGGGGAGTTGCTGGTAGAACTGGACATTAAGGAAAGGAGAAGAAACTTCCATTCTTCAGCACTACACAGATATAAAAGTTAATAGGAGAAACAAGTTGGGAAGAAGGTCTGCCTCCATGGGGTAGCTCCTCTTCTATTTGCCCTGAGGCTGAGCCCCAGCAACAGCCCAAGGGGAGGAATAGGGTCTGCCTCTTACCCCTCTGTTGGGGTAGATTCCTCAAGGAGGAATCTTCCCATACTGGTGGGTGCTGGCAGCTAGAACCTTCCTCACCAGATCTGCCCCAAAGGTTAAGAAACACAACAGTTCCTTGCCTTCTCTTCAAGACAGCAGGATCTGGTCTCTTGCTGGCAGTGTTACAGTGACATCCTCTTCCTATTTCCCTCTCTGACATGCTACCCTCCATCCTGTTATTTTGCCTTTTTCCCCCCATTCTTCCTTCCCTCCTACTCACTTGCCTCATATTCATTCACCTTATTCACTTCCATCACCCCTCTCTACTCAATCAGCTCCTGCTCATTTTCCTCTCCTCTCCCTCCCCCCATTCTTAATAGCTCAGCACAGGAACAATTTCTTGTCCCAGTTTGCCTGGAATGCTCACAGAAGCTCAGGAAAATCATAGAATCATAGAATCAGACGGGTTGGAAAGGACCTCTCAGATCATCAAGTCCAACCCTTGATCCACTACCACCACAGTTGCTAGACCATGGCACTAAGGGCCACGTCCAGCCTCATCTTAAAAACCTCCAGGGATGGAGAATCCACCACTTCCCTGGGCAGCCCATTCCAATGGTTGATCACCCTCTCTGTAAAAAATTTCTTTCTAATGTCTAACCTAAACCTCCCCTGGTGCAGCTTAAGGCCATGCCCTCTTGTCCTACTGCTGGTTGCCTGGGAGAAGAGACCAACCCCCACCTGGCTACAACCTCCTCTCAGGTAGTTGTAGAGAGTGAGGAGGTCTCCCCTGAGCCTTCTCTTCTCCAGGCTAAACAACCCCAGCTCCCTCAGCCTCTCCTCATACAACTTGTGCTCCAGTCCCTTCCCCAGCCTGGTTGCTCTTCTCTGCACCTGCTCCAGCACCTCAACATCTTTCCTGAACTGTCGGGCCCAGAGCTGGACACAGTACTCCAGGTGAGGCCTCACCAGCGCTGAGTACAGGGGCAGAATCACTTCCCTGGTCCTGCTGGCCACACTGTTCCTGATCCAGGTCAGGATGCCATTGGCCTTCTTGGCCACCTGGGCACACTGCTGGCTCATGTTCAGCCTCCTGTCAATCAGCACTCCCAGGTCCCTTCCTGTCTGGCTGCTCTCCAGCCACTCTGTCCCCAGCCTGTAGCACTGCATGGGGTTGTTGTGGCCAAAGTGCAGGACCCGGCACTTGGCCTTGTTGAACTTCATCCCGTTGGAATCAGCCCAACTCTCCAGCCTGTCCAGGTCCCTCTGCAGAGCCCTCCTGCCTTCCAGCAGGTCGACACTCCCTCCCAACTTCGTGTCGTCTGCAAATTTGCTACTGATGGACTCAATCCCCTCATCTAAATCATCAATAATCCCTTCTCAAGTTGGATGGCAACCCATGGTCACCAGAGCAGGGCTTGCCAAACCCGTGTGTGCCACCAAGTCGCCATGGCAGCCCCTTCAGAAATGAGCAGCTCTGCAGAGGGTGACAAAGCCTAAAGGAAAGCTATTCTAGAGTACATCCCAGGCTGGACTGCCCTCCAAAACCACCAGCACATTGCCTGTTCTCTTGGACCACATTAGCAGCCCAGATTCATTACACTTCATTGCCTTCATTCATTATAAAACAGAATAAAAACCTCCCTGTAATGCGCCTTTACCCTGCAGGAGATCAAATTCTTGGAGAATCTAATCTTTTATTAATAATGATGACAAATCACCAGAGTATTACCCTTCCTTTCTGCAATGATTCAAATCCTGTAAAAGCCTCCTCTGATTATTTCAAACACTTCTGCACACACATCCAGGAAGCCAGAAGCCAGCAAGGGGAAGAAAAGCCCTGTAGCTCCTCCATGCCATTACTGAGGGGGGGTTGCTTTTGGGTTGGCATGTCACAGGCAAATCTGGCTGACATCACCCAGTGTCAAACTCCCACCTCCACTGTGCTGACTCAGGCTTCCAAAAGGACAGACTAGGGATTCCACACCCCCACAGGAGGTCTGGGGGAGGGGGGGAGCTGACAGCACATCTCCAAGGCTGGAGATTTGTGCAAGATCACCAAACATAGGTGTGCCACACACCCTCTGCTATGAAGGGCACTACAGAAGAGAAGGTCATTGCAGTTGCTGGGAGGAGTATTTTGGCCAGTGTTTCGCCTTAAAGCATCCTGCAGCAGATGGCCAGAGAGGGATAAGACTGGAGGAATTCTGACTGGAGAAGAGAAGGCTCTGGGGAGACCTTAGAGCCCCTTTCAGTTTCTAAAATGGTTCCAAGAGAGCTGGAGAGGGATCCTGGACAAGGGTCTGGAGTGACAGGACAAGGGGGAATGGCATCCCGCTGACAGAGAGCAGTTTTAGATTGGATATTGTTGGGGTGTCCTGTGCAGGGCAAGAGTTGGACTTCATGATTCTGATGGGTTCCTTCCAACTCAGCATATTCTGTGATTCTGATAACAAATTCTTCCCTGTAAGGGTGATGAGGCCCTGGCACAGGTTGCCCAGAGATGCTGTGGCTGCCCCATCCCTGGAAGTGTCTCAGGTCAGGTTGGAGAGGGCATAGAACAACCTGCTGTAGTGAAAGGTGTCTCTGACAATGGCAAGGGTTTGGAATGAGATGGGCTTTAAGGTCCCTTCCAACCCAAACCAGTCTGTGATTCTAAGATCAAGGCAAGTGTACAGCCACATCCTCTCCACTCTTTGCTGCTCAGAGACCTATGCCAGCTGCACTTTACAGACATGCAGCAAGCCCTCCACGGAGCTGTTCTCACTGGATTTGTCAGGTCCCACCTGACAAATACACAGGCTTCCTTCAGCCCTGACAACCTGTGGCAAGGAGCTGTGCAAAGCAGCAAGCCTCCTGCTTGTACTGAATCTGTTACTCACTACATACATTTGATGTCCTTTAATTCTCATACTGGAAAAGATCACATCATGACAGAAACGGGGTAAAGCCACCCACTCAGGCTCAGGTAAGCCCTGGCCCCAAACTCCAGCCAACCAACTGTCTGTTCTCTGCAAGACTTGAAGTTTTGCTTGTACTTTTGCTGTTCATTCCCATTGAAAGAGAGGGCAGGCTGAATAAATGGTGGGATATAGGAAAAAAAGAAAACAAGAAAAAAATGCTCCTTGAAGAATTAGAAGCTTGTAGCTACAAGCTGAGCTGAAGGACACTTCATCCCGCAGAAAGAAGGGAAATACACAGCCCATCCCCAAAATGGCACGTACCTCTTCACTGGCTTCCTGCCCCTGCCACCTGTGGTCAGGTCAGAGAGCTCAGGTAGGGCTTCCATCAAGGGCTGCATGTCTCCCACCACAGGTGTTGCTTTTCGCTTCGCTTCGGCTTTTTGCTTCTGTTTCATTATCTTCACACTTTCTATTTCTGAATCAGAAATAAGGCACTACTGAAGGAAGGAGAAGTGTCTGCAGGAGATAACCCTTGAGCTAAGAAATTAATAGACTGCTTAACCACCTAGAGGAACAACAGGCCAGAAGTGACCTAAACCAGGGAAAGACCAAAAATAATGCAGCTGGGTCATTCCCCCCCTTACAGGTTGTGTTTGCTTATAACTATATACATCCCTTCTGACAGTGCAACGGGAAATGAAATTCCCACACTGATTTTGTCTGAACTGCTCCCATCCCTTACACTGTTCATTGCTCACAGCAACACAGCACAGGAGCCCTGGTGTGGCAAAAAAACCCACACTGACCTTGCATGGAACTGGGTGAGAGAAACAAGAGGGGAAGGGACAAACCAAGTACAGTCAGCTCCACATCTGGCCTTAAACAGGCACAGCCCCATCTCTGCTTTGCTGCTGGGACCAAACAGTGGTCTCCTAGCACAGGCAGAAAAGATGGACCTAATTTCAGATGTTTACTTAGTTTGGAGCGAGCCAAGGTCTCACTTTCGTGACTCGTAGTGGAGTGCAAGCCACTAGATGCTGGATAAACTGGACCCTTGGAAAAGCACTGCATTAAGTGGCAGAGACAGATGGCTCTTCCTCAGAACCACATTTCCCAGTCTCCCTGTAGCAGCTCTGACATGGTTGTGGGCACAGAAAGCTCCACAAATGTTATATCAGTCTCCCCTTCACCCATGGGAGGTGGGCTTTGAAAGCCCACAGGCTTCTGCCTCAGTCCTTGAGGCTCCCTGGTGTAGTTGTAAGTCCCACAGCTGCCCAAGCTTCACAGAGCCAGCAGTTGCCAGGGCAAGCTCCAGCAGAACATGCCCTTTAGGACAGCCCACAAAATCCCAGAACTCATACAAGCTTCCAGCTGAATTCCAAGATGCCCCAACCTGACCCAGAAGTCCCTTGGACAACTGCAACGATGAGCCTCAGTGCTGAGCTAAAAACTCCATGTGTGGATATGACAGAGTGCCAGAAGCCGTGGTAGCACAGGCAGGCCAACAGCTTCCAAGGCAGCATGGCCACAGAAGTATTTTGGTGGGAGCAAAAAAGCAGCCAGTCCCACTTACAGACCACAATCTCAGGTCTAATCCTGCTCCCATAATCTCAAGGAAGCAGAACTCAAATTCACTGGATGGCTGCTGGCTCCTTTAATACCTCTGCCTTGTTTGCTCTCCAACTCGGCTGAGTTGAAGAGCAACAGTTTTTCATGAACTGCAATTCTGCTGTACATGGATGTTTGTGACAAATCTGGATTGGAAACGCTTCTCCTCGCAGCAATCCCTGCCAAGAACACAGCTTTCTGTTCTGCATCACTTCTTTTTTTGGTCTGGCTTTATGAAGCTGACTACTTCAGTGCTTTCATAAACAGTATGCGCTTAAAATTTTCAGACACCTGATTCTGCACAAACATCCCAAATTCTTTTCCTATGAAGTCTTGTTCGTCTGAGGAGCCATGCAATATATATATTTTTAAATGCGCATACTTCTAATGTCTGAAGCATTACATAAGTTTTTTCCCCTCTCTAGTCTCTCTTAAGATTACTTATTGGAATGGAAGAAAGCTCCAACTTTTGCATTTGCTCTACTGGGCTGAACTTTGGTTCCCAGGGTCTTGGCATCCAGTGTCACAAGAGCAGCCCTGGGACAACAAGAAACTACAAACTCAGATTTAGGAAAACAGAGATGCAGTGGTAACAACCTCAGCTGTCCAAATTGGGTTCTCTTTTGGCGGGCAAAGAGTTCTTTCTCCACAAAAAAAAATTTTTTTTTTAGGTACTTTTGTGCCTGTAAAGCACTTCTAACACATAGTATCTTCTAAGGGAGATTAATTTGGCCCGGAGTTTACTGTGTTGGTGTTCTGCTCAAAGCAAAGCCTCTGTATTTCATTTGTATTTCCTCAACTTAGTGATTTCAGAGACAAGAGAGAGGGAAAGAGGCCACAGCAGGGCCAAAATAACACACATGATCTTGGGAAAGATAGATGCTACAAAGGCATCAGGAGGGCAGGATTAAGAGAGTGTAGGGATCTTGCTTCTGGGCTTTTCCAAAGCAGCTGACCTTCACTAGTGCAGCCTTCTCTACTTTGTGTCAAAGGGCTGCAGATGTCAAAGGCACTGTGAAGCTTTTGGGAGAAGGTTTCCTTCACACACAGAGTGTTAAATTCTCAGCTTTTTATCTAAGAGGAGCTAGACACACCTTCTCTGCAAATGGTGAAATCACAGGTGAATGGACTTGAGCTCAGAGCTCAGGTGCACAGAGCACATGGTGTAGCAGAAAGCCATATCCCTCTGCCCCAAACACAGTCTGCCTTCAACTCTGTTGGGCAAGAAGGTATTAGGGGAAAAGCTTGTCCCAAGAACACCTCCAGGTGACACAAGGAATCCCTCTGCTACACTGGGTAGGACAGCATAGTCTCTTACTGTGCTGCGACACTCGAAGCAAAAATACAGACACTTCCCACAGGAAACAGAAGCATTTCTGCCATGGGCTGGTTTTGTTTAGCTCATATTTCACAGCCTCGAGAAAGGCCAGACTGTCTGGTAAATGGGTTCACTGACCTGTAGCATATGGGAAAGAGCAGTAACACAACCAGCAGTGCCCAGAGTTCTCCCTTCCTGCAGGCTCTCACCACAGAGGTTTGGGATGAGATGGTGGCAGCATAGGTCTCAGCTCCAGGCTGTCCTACCACCCCCATGGCTCCTCGGCAACAAGGAGCTCCACTACACAGCCAGTCCTATCTGTACCAGGGCTTTAAAAGACAGAAAAACACACTAAACTTACATGGGCACAGTGTCCTATCTGGATAAAGAAGGAGTTTATGTAGTCAGATATATTACACGTGGAGAAAGATCAAAACCAGATGTGGGGCAATGACTCGGTCTTGGCGCTTAACATTGAGCAACAATACCTGGGACTTCGACCCCACCTGCTGGGGAGCAGGTGTGAAGGTTTCTGAGAAGCATTCAGCCCTTCCCAGCACTTAAACCCACACCCAATGAACAGGGAGATCCACCAGAGCCGTGCTCTGAGATGTGTGACATGCTTCACAGGAGTACTCACTCTGCAGCCATCTTTCTTTCCTCAGCTTCATCTTTTCTTTTTTGGAAAGAACTGTTTTTTCTTCTAAACCTAGAAGAGAAGAGACATGAGATGGAGCCTGGCTCCTGTACAACAAATTTCATTCAACCCTCGATTCTTTTGAATTTGCTGGCAGGCATTGCAGGGGCTACACTGCACCTCCAACTTTTAGCCAAACGAATTAAACCTGACTTGCTGTCAGTTAAAAAACAAGAAGCAAGCAAGTAGATCAGATCAGCAGCAGAGAATCCTAGAATGGTTTGGGTTGGAAGGGACCCTAAAGCCCATCTTGTTCTAACCCCCTGCCATGGGCAGGGACACCTTCCACTAGCCCAGGTTGCTCCAAGCCCCGTCCAACCTGGCCTTGGACACTTCCAGGGATGGGGCAGCCACAGCTTCTCTGGGCAACCTGTGCCAGGGCCTCACCACCCTCACAGGGAATGATTTCTGAAATATACCTGGGACAGCCCTATAAGGAGCAGTCGATCACTAGCAGCTTGTAAAATAGGCTAGTACCTACTATTTACCAAATTCAGTATGGAAAGCAGCTGTTGAGCACTGGTATCCAATACCAAATAAAATAACATCACAAATATTTTTACTGGCGATCTGTTGCAGATGCTATAAAATTATATCTTTTCTCTGGTGTTTAAAATAAAACTGACTTTAGTCAACTTTTCTCCTGAAATGTACTGGGAATACCAGAATGCCAGTGGAGGAACAAGCTCCCCAAAGATCAGTCCTCTCACTTGAGCTTATGCTTAAGCCTGGAAAAGAAAAAATAGATTTCGTTTTCCCAAAAGAAACAGAAGAAAGGAATTCAATGCAATTCTGCAAACAACTCACTGAGGACGGCTTCTCTGAAGCTACAAATCTTTTAGAATTATTTAAACAAAAGCGGGATCATATTTTAGTAATTCCTTAAGATCAGAACAAGCCTGCTAGAGCTGGGGGCACCTTTCCATAAAGCCAGCAATCACCACCATGTTTTGAGTTTCTAGAGGACACGGAGAACAGAGCTGAAGCTTCCACTTCTTCATATGCCAGAAAAATACATTCCTGCAGTCAATAGACCCAAAAAGCAAGAAATAAAACCATGTTTGTTGTGGTATCAAATCAGATGCCGAAACAACAAATTGCCTGTACCAATAACCAACTCTGAGCTACCACTCCCATCACCCCACATTTCTGCAGCTTCAGGGAAAAAAAGGATGAATTATGGCCAAGTGGCACATGGCACCCTGATGATATCCAGAGGGCTGCCTGCACAGGACACCCTGGCTGCCCCAGCCTGCCTAGATTTCAGCCATGGCAGTGCTGGGAAGATCTGCCCCTCATCTGGAAACATGCTCATGACTTCACTGGAAAAACAGCACCTGGTGGGATTTGTTAATGAAAATTAAAAAAACCCTGCAATTCAGCCAGCTGGCCAATTCTAGTAATAACAGCAATTCAGGTTTGGGGGTTTTTCACCCCCCTCCAAATGGTAGTGGAATATTTAAGGAAACAAAAGCTGTTTTCTTGGCAAGAGCCCAATCTTGCTGCTGGCTGGGGATGGTGGGCGGCAGCCAGGCCAGCAGCCAGAGATCTCCTGAGGGGTGCCCGGGGAAAAGGAGTTGGACCCCTCCCATGTCAGCAGTCAATTCCTGGCCTTTTCCATCACCTGCTTCTCCAGACACTCCATTTTCCATATCCCAACTTGCCCCTCAGAAGGCTGTTTTGCTGCTGGAAGGTGCCAAGTTGTGTTTGGCAACCTCGAGCTGTGAGGCCGAGCGCCAAAACCGCTGGAAAACCACTGGAGAACAGTGGAGGCAGAATTCGTCTGGTTAATTAACAGCACAGACTGTCCCCATGGTAGTCTTTTATTCTTATTTAGCTTGCAAGCACCTTC